GGTAAAAAAAAATTAAGTAGAAAACAGCAGCAGAATCACTACATCAGCTACTGATCAACAATGACTAGGAGAAGCCTACAACAGCTTCATAGCTCTACAACTCAACTGCATCAAGGCTTCTTCTAGCATAAGTAGTACTTTCTCTCTTTGTGGAATAAGAGTTGAGTGCGCTTGTCTTTTTCAGATAGCTTAATTATTTGAGATTTTGTATGATAATAGATTTTTTATTGATTATCTGCAAGTGGTCTCAAATCTGAATCAGATTTTACATTGTAGTCATAGTTTGAATGTTGTTGCCGCTGATTTCTTTTGTTGGGCGTGGTGGTAATCATCAATCTCTCACCATGTAGCTGCTATGGGTAATCATCAATCTCTCACCATTGCCGCTGATTTACCTGAATGTTTTGCTTCTATTTTTGAAACTGATCTTTCTATTGCCTCCGACCTTTTTAGTTCATTTATAGGCCTAGGCTTAGGTTTTATTGCTCTATTTTCATGTTATTAGTTCTGTCTTTGTATTGGATATTTTAAACATTTGGATTCCTTGGACATGATTTGTGCCCTTTCATTGATTATTGAAATGAATTAAAACCACGCCCGCCACATCGCTATGATCCTATGTTAAAAGCTTCAACGCCTTTGCCTTTATAGTGATGGGACTTTTTGGTTAAGGTTTATGGTTAAGTTTTATACATTGCTCCCCGTCAAGGTGTAGGCAAATAGAAATCCCCTTTGTTTCAGGTGGTTCTCTTTGAGAATTTAAAAAATAATTAAGGCCTTGTTTGATGATTAAATGGTTATTAAAAGTATAGAAGTATTTATTTTAACAATCACTTAAAGCTGTTTGGTAATTCACTTACAAAATCATTTATTATGTTTTTAAGTACTTATTGGAGTGGGGATGTTTGGTAAGCTACTTTCCCCTTAAGTGCGTATATTGATACAAATGACAATTTTAGCCCTCACAAATGACAATTTCATGCATAGGAATCTATCACATAGACAATGCAAACAAAAAAAAAAAACCCAAGCAAATATTTTGGATTTATCTTTGAAAATAAAAAAAATCGGTTTTAATCAAAATATTGCACTAAAAATTGTTTTAAAACAAAGACGAGGGAGGAGGATGGCTGACCTGAGTGTCGTCGGCGAGAGCACAGTGAGAATGCCAGAAATTGCCCCAAAAAAACCAGATCTGGTAAAGAGGGTTTCAGGTGTTTAAAATTTCAAAGAAAAAAAAAAACCCAAAATATTCAAGAATTTATGTAGAAAACAAGTCCAAATGTGATTGTAGCTCGTTCGACGGTCGTCGGTCGCTCCAATGGAAGGTGCCGCCGCTGGTATTTTCGCCCCTATTCGAGTGAGGAAGAAGGGGGTTTAAGGAGAGATGGGAGCATTCTAGGTATTTAAAAAAATAAATAGGGACTTTTTAGTCCCAAAATTTTTGTAAGTCCACTTATTAACAAGTAATTAAAAAAAGTAACTCCCAAGTGGCTTTTTTAATAAGTATTTCTTTATCAAATAAGTACTTTTTTTATTAAACACCCATGTTTATTTTCCACTTAATGTGTGGTTCCAACACTTTTATTAAATACCTATAAAAAATACTTTTATTTGAAGTAAAATCAAATAGGCACTAAAGGTAAAATAGTCTTTTCATTGATTTTGTCATATATACAGAGGCATTTTACTGACGTGGGAGAGGGGAGGTACAAGTATTTACGAGAAACCTTGGGGGGAGGTTCAAGTCTTTTACCCTCAAAACTATAGCGAACGGATTGAAATTGTCTTCGAGGGCTGTCACCACACTCAACATCATCTTGAACGTCCGTTTGATATATGCCAAGCTCTTGCCTGTACTCGGTAAATAACCTTCATCGTATCAGACAGCTAGCCTCCCTATTGGAGTTGCCAAAATGTCTAATGCTGTAGGTCAGGCTACTAAGCCAAAGGGTGAGGCTGCTAGGGAAAGAAATGCAAATCAATCAATTAGGTTGACGTTTCCTTCTCGAATTTATTGCTTCAAACCTTTTACCCTTGTATTCCTTATTACATTTCTTCCTGCGTTCTCTTCTTTCTCTCCATCCAACCTAATCATTCCTGAGTCCAGATCTTTCTCTCCATCGGTGATATTGAGCACAAGAGATGCTTCTAATATATAGCTTAGTGTGCTATCCTCCCCCATCAACCTTCTTTCTTCCCCTTGTCAGAAGATTCATATTATCTTATTATTTGGCTCTCCCAAAATGTGGTGTGGGGTGTCCTAACATGCCATGTTAGACTTAGATGGCCTGAAACTGAATCAATCAATTAATCAATTTTCAAACCAAGGTTCAAAGTATCGGGAATGTTATGTGTATTGGAAAAGCAAATTTAAGAGTCGTATCGGGATACATATGGATACGGATGAAAAATTAAAATACGTATGAAAATACATGGAAATGCTATAAATACTCTAATAAATCATAAATACATATCAATATCACTAAATAGACATAAATGAGCTATTTATGCATAAAAATAACACATTTACATATTATAATCAATAAACGGGAAGTTGGGAATAGAAACATACTATCTAGTTATGGACATAATAGATCAAGTAATTATTTTGCATGTTTTATTCTAAAAATTAAATTAAAATTAAGAAAAGTAAATATGTAACAAAAAATTGAGTGGATTTATAGACATAATAGATGAAATAATTATTTTGCATATTTTATTCTAAAAATTAAAAAAAAAAATAAATATCAATGTTTTAAAACATAGAGGCATTCCACTACCTAGAGGCATGAAGTAGTTCAGAATGCAAGAGGCGTAAGCTTCCTTAAGAGGAGGAAAGAGGAAGGGGGGATTTCATTTTTTTTCTTTATCTTTAATAAAAAACTTTTATATTAAGAAAAATAAAAATGCATAATAGTTGTTAAAAGGGGGGTCTTATTGAAGCGGAGTAAGACTCCCCTAACTCAAAAAAATAAATTAGGCTACAACGAAAAGGGGGACGGGGGGCGAAGCCCCCTAGCCGAAGGGGTAGGGGGCAAACCACTTTCTTTCCCCTCATCTTTTCTAACATTGACCGAAAATGTAAAAGAAATTTGAAAAAACATATTTAGTTTCACTCATTTTTTCACAACCTTGAAAAACTTGTTGAATCTTGTAAATTTATAGATGTTTTGGCAAATTTTTACAAGATTTGAGTCTTTAAAAAGGTTAAAAAGCTTTTTGATGGGTTTGGAAAAAAAAAGAGGACTTCTGAAATGGGTTTAGAAGCCCTCTTTTGAAGGGAGTTTTATTTGCATTTCCGCCACAGTAAAATCATACTGTATCGGCCGATACGCTACTGTATCGATAGCGTATCGACCGATACAGTGCCAAAACGCACCGATACTCAACGATACAGGTACGATACGGGCACGATATGGCCTCGATACAATGAATAGATATGGCACATTCAATTTGATACCATGTACCGTGCCGAAAACTTACTAGAATGATACGTATCGACTGATACAGGCCGATACGTGACAAAATTTTAAACTTGTTCCAAACATAGAAACTTCTCCGAGAGTTCAGATTTGCTCCCCATTGAGAACACCCCACATGCTCTTTACAACAAATCTGGACCGTGTATGGGAATCATGTCCCAAGTACGGGAATCCGATACATGCTGAGATGTGAATGTAGGGCACGCTTTGTGAGGCACAAATCTGAACTTCTCCAATGGTCTCGCCCAATACATGTGTGGCACAATCCCTTCTATGGTCTTTCACCCTAACATGTTCCTCTTTGCTGTTAGGCTTTAATCATTCTTCATTCCTCTTAGGTCTATGTTAGAGTCCATCCAGGTCGTGGAGCTCTCTTATGTTGCATTTGACATTCTTTATTTTAAAAACTTATCTCCTTTTGTGATTAAAATGCATCCTACGAACACTGAGTTTTTAACTGTAAAAAGGGAATAAGTCCTTAAAATAACAAATGCCCAAATGCAGCCTTATCGGTGTAAGATATTTTGACCTATTGCCAATCCTTTCTCCCACACATCCTTTCAAGCCTGAACCCGTCACTCTTTTTGATCTGTGGCTGCTTTTCATTGGCGCAAATCCTTCTTAGCCCAGGCTGCTTCAACAACCCAGTTTAATCCAATTCGTCTTTAAAAATATAGGTTTTAATGCTATTAGAAATACAAATATGTACAGTACAAATACATATAAAATAATATAAAATATAAGATTTGTATCCGTACTCCTTCCAAATGGAGCCTTAGGCTCAGTTTGGAAAGAGTACAAACCTTGTATTTTGTATTATTTTGTATGTATTTGCACTCTTTCCAAACTGAGCCTTAATGATGAGAAACAGGATTTAATAAGACAGAATTGGAGTTGATACTGTGAATATGGGAATTAAAAAACAGAAAATAGAATAAATAGACCAAATTCAAAAAGGGGTATTTCAATTAAGAAAAAGTCCAGAAGCTTTGAGGAGCTATTCCAACATTTCACATTAGTGTAGATAGATAAATAGATGTAAAATCCTTGTTCAATAGTTCTCTGCCATGTGGCAAATAAGTGGTCCCTTATCCCTCGGTACAGCATGCACTATCCAAAAACAGCAATCAAATCCATTTTGAAAGGAATCCATATAAGCTATTAGGATGTTCTAGTCAAAGCCCAAACCCAAGTTTAGAGGGCTAACCAAAACCCAGACCCAAGTGGACATAACTGGATCTACAGCTCATTCTAACTTACTCCAACCCAGCCTTTGGAACAATGCTTTCAACCCACAATTGAACCGGCCAGCTAGGCCCATTGAACCATCACCCTAACTAGATTTTCAGGTCTGTTTTAACCGTAAACTGCCAAGTATTAAAATGTGCTGACCCAAATAACCCAATAACCAAGTAGCCGGTTGAATCGCCAAAACATTTGACCTGGTGAATGGGTCATTCGTCAGGCTTTTCTTCTCTTTTTCTCTTTTATTGCATTCTTAATCAATAATTTCCATTTATCACACTAAGTTTGTTTAAAAAATGCTTTGGAATAATATCGTGAAAAAGTGAAGTAATCAAATCAAAAAGAAAATAAAATAGAATACCTACGTAAGAGGGTGAGATTTGGTAAACCATATGCCATGGTTACCCATTGAATTCTGCGCAAGTGCACACAGAATAAAAAACAACCCAACGACCCATCAAGAGTGAAACCATAATCAAGAATTTTTTTTTCTTAATGAAGTAATTTTAAAAAGCTGTTCGTTGAATAAGATGAACATCAAGGAGCCTTTAGTGTTTACAAGATGCATCCCTGATTCTTGGAGGAATTTGAAAGAGACAGTAATTATCCTGCCACAACAAACCAAAATTCAGAGCACTAGATCAACCAGATTCAGATTTAACCTTCAAGTAGGACAGAATAATCAGAATGTATTGCTAAAAATAGTTGCAATAGGAAATGCCACAAAAGACAACAATGTCAGTTAAAATCCAAGCAGAGCAAGTAAATAGATGAGTAAATGCATGCATATGAAAACATTGCAACAAACACAAACACAGGTCATCTATGTACAGAAATCACTTATAAGGTGAACATGGTGAAAAATCATATAAAAGTAATTGTGCATTACCTCAGTATATTATGCGAGGCTCCGGGCATATTGGTCAAGAGCTGTATTGAATAGGTCACACCTAAAGATAAAGTAATAAGAGATTTATTAGGTTAGGAATTTTTTTTTTTTTTTTGGGGGGGGGGCTTCTAAGTGAAAAGAAAAGAAAATATTGACAAAGTTTACTATCTGATACAAGGAGTAAAATATTGCATCTTGCAATACATACAGCCTGAACATCCTTTTCCATTCAAATCTTTTATATAGCTAGATAAGTCAAAATTAGAAAATTAAAATTCACCATTTACGTGCTTTCACAAAGGTGCCATGAGTTGCTACCTTTATCCATGTTATAACTAAATCTGTTACATACTTTTAATTGTTCAGCAGGTGCCATTTTATATTTTACCAACATTCATGCATATCAGAAATAAATCATCGTACTGCATAAAATAAAAATCCAAACAAAGGAGACATTCAAGATATAGGGCACAGAATAAAATTATAATGTAGTAAGATATATGCTGCACAAAAAACAAGACGGAGTAGACAGAACTGATTCTTAGTTTGGTAGTATCAAATAGAAGTTATCTTCTACCCTCTACTGTGGCTTTACTGCCACCTGTAGATGCAATATGTTAAGCCTACAGACACAGCCCAGGCCCACGTGGGTAAGCCATCCAAAGTGACAAACTTCCTGCACTATAGCAAAGTCTATGACAGGGGACTAAGGCACCATGTGATGTGTACACAGGTCAGACAGGTAGTTATAACTAAATGATGTAAGCCTATGAAAGGCAGGGGGTATCAATGACAGTCAGTGAAGAAAGTTTCCTTTATCCCCCCTCTCTCTCCTCTTCTGGAGGTGGGACCCTCGAAGCTCCCCTGAGTTGGGCAGAAATTGAAAACCTAACAGACTTGTATGAGAGCCAGAATTGGTCCAATTAAATAACCAAATCGTTGACCATGGAAGACCAGGTGCACAAGATCGAGGTTGAGCTGCACAAGGTTTCAGCCAGTACGAAGGATATCAAGGTAGCCCAGTCTACCACGATGACAAAGTGTGAGCAAATCTAAGCAGGCAGAAGTAAGAACCTGGCAACAAGTCAAGCTTGAGTTTCCTTCTTCTGAAGCGATAATCCAGTTCCATGGATTTATTCTGCAGAGCATGTTTTGAGTTCAATGAGATTTCAGGACTGCAGTGACTCTTGCTTCGATTCATCTTGATGGAGAGGCGATTCAATGGTACCAATGGTATCAGCAGTCACATCCACACCTGACCTGGACAGATTTCACCAAAGCATTCTGTATCCATTTCAGCCCAACAGGATTTGAAGATTTTGACGAGAGCCTAACCAAGCTGAAGTACATCGGCAATGTTTGGGAATATCAAATCGAGTTTGAATGTCTGGTGAATTGCATCCATAGCTGGCCAGGGAAAGCTCATGTTGGTTGCTTTGTCAGCAGCTTGAAGGATGTACCGAGTTTGAGGTAAAAGCCTTTCAACTGACTGCTGTAATGGTGGCCATCGGCCTTGCAAAGCTGCATGAGAAACTCAGTTGGACCTGATGAGTCACCAAGATGATGGGCCCAACTTATAAACTAATCCCAAGGAGGACGGTATCTCGGGCAAATGCAAACTGACTATGAATGCCAATCCAGGCCCTGGACCAGTACCTAACAATGCCCAGCCCACAATTCCAATTAAAAAGCTTAGTTGGGCCAAAATGCAGGCCTATAACGAATTCAACCTATGTTGCAATTGCCCTGAGAAATTTGGGCCAGGTCATAGGCATAAGGCCCAACAGGTCTTTGTTTTACAAATCGATGCGCCCAAGGATGAGGAGTCCAATCCACCCAATCAATGTAAACTGGGCTTATCTAAATTACATGTTGGACAGAATGCAGTTTGGGCGGGAGTGGAGAAACTGGATGAAAGTCTGTATCACCACCCCTAGTTTCTCAGTTCTGATTAACAGGGTAGCTGAGGGCAAGTTCAGAAGTTTGAGAGGATTAAGACAAGGTGACCCCACTGTCACCTTTGCTGTTCTTGGTAGTTATGCAAGGTTCAAGTAAATTGACAGAGAGAGCAGCATATTTAGGGCTGATTTGGGGTTTTGGGATCAGTCCTGGGGGTACAAGAATCTCAATGTTGCAGTATGCTGACGATACTCTATTTTTTGTGAGGCTTCCCCATATCAGGTTCTTAATCTCCGATTTCTTCTGAGCTGGTTTGATGTGGTTTCAGGGTTAAAAGTTAATTCCTCTAAAAGTGAGATGCTACTGGTTGGGACCATTTCTAATCTTCAAGAGTTGGCTGAAGTCTTGGGGTGTAAAACAAGCAATTTCCCTTCCTTGTGCCTTGGTCTTCCCTTAGGGGCAAAGAGTAACTCAAGCAGTATTTGGAATCCTATCCTGGAAAGAGTTGATAGAAAAGTAGCCTCTTGGAAAGCTTGATGTTTCTCCAAAGGAGGTAAACTGGTTTTGGTTAAGAGTGTGCTATCTAGCCTGCCGACCTACTTTATGTTTCTTCTCTTAATGCCCGCGGAGGTGGCTGTGAAGATTGAGAAAAAGATGAGGGATTTTCTGTGACAAGGGTGGAAAGATTCCTCGAAATACTACTTGGTAAAGTGGGATAAATTTTGTAAGCCCATTTCCCAAGGTGGGCTTGGGATTAGGAAGGTGAAACTTTTCAACCTAGCTTTCTTGGGAAGCTGATTCTGGAGATTCTCAAGTGATACTCAGGAGTTACGGAATAGTTGCCGAAAAATATGGTTTCAGTGAGAATGGGTGGGATGCAAGAGGGTCACAACAACCTTATGGGTGTCACACATAGAAAGGTGTTTATAAAACTTACTCTCTTTTCATTAGAGGTATTTCTCACAAAGCTGGGAATGGTAGGAGATTGAAATTCTGGATGGATCCTTGGTGTGGCAACTTCTCTCTGAAAGAGAGATTTCCTGTATTGTATGATGCAGCTGAAAACAACTTGGTGTCAGTTGCAGATTGTTTTGCACAGGTGGGAGGTGTTTTAGTCTGGTCTCCTGCCTTTAGAAGGAATTTCAATGATTGGGAGTTGGATCAGGTGGCTGAAATGCTGTGATTCAAGAGCAACACCCAGACCTGCTATCAGAGGATACTAGATGCTGGTTGTGGTCTAAATCTGGTTGTTTTACCATCAAGTCTTTTTATTTGGGGTTGCTGGAGAGTAACAGCCAGCCCTTCCCATCCAAGGCCATTTAGGAGACCTCAGCTCCTTTAAAAGTTAAATTCTTCTTGTGCGTGGCTGCAAAAGAAAGATATCTTACCAAGGAAATGCCAATAAGGGTTTCAGCTTATCAGATATGAATTATTCCTTGTGCAACTTGGTACCAGAATCAGCAAATCATCTTTTCATACAGTGGTTTCACAGCAGTGGTGTGGCAGCACTTCCTTAGAGCAATAAATCTGAGTTGGTGCTGGCCTGAATCAGTCCTGCTGTCTTACAAGGGTGGAGAGTCCATGGAATGTCCAAGGAAGGGAAGCTAGTATGGTTTGTTGTTCAACCTGCAGTTTTATGGGCAATCTGGGTAGAAAAGAACAACAGGATTTTTGAACAGAAGGCCAAGTCTGAGGCTGGGGTTATTAACTTTGTAGTGGAAGAGCTGAGGAGCTGGTTCTCTATTTGTAATGTGTTTAAAGATGTATTTTACTCTGGTACTTTTTTGAGGGTGAATTCCTTTTTGGAGGGCTTTAATGTTGTTTTGTACAGCCTCTTGTATAGACCTTATACTGTTTGATACTAAATACAATACTTTACCTTTTCAAAAAAAAGGGAGGAAGAGGAGAACAATCCCTAAGAAGTTGTGCCTCTAACATACCGAATGATGCAATGAAAAATAGTCATATGAGGCTGACGAGGAGCAAAAACAAATTGACTAACTATCTGAACAGCATGAGAAATATTAGGTCAAGTCATAGTGAGATAAATGAGAGACCCCACAAGATACAAGGTAGCATCTGGAAGCAATGGACCTTCAGATTTAGATAACTTAATATTCACCTCCATAGGTGTATCAACATGTTTCTCATCAGTAATACTAGTAAGTTTAACGAGGTCAGAGGCATATTTTTGCTGACAAACAAAATACCTGCGATCACTACGATGAACTTCCAGACCCAAGAAATAGGTGAGAGGGCCCAAGTCCTTCATGTGAAAGGAATTATGAAGTAACAACTTCAATTCACGGATACTTTCATCATCATTCCCAGTTAATAGCATGTCATCAACATACAATAGAAGAATGGTAATACCCTGAGGCTGCCGCCTAACAAAGAAAGAGTGATAAGAGGAACTTTGGCTACAACATCTCAAAAGCGTTCAAACCATGCCCGGGGAGCTTGTTTTAGACCATATAGAGATTTTATGGCAACATACTAAAAAAGAATCACTTCAGTGTCTAGGAGGAGGCTTCATGTAGATTGTCTCCTTCAACTAACCATGGAGAAAGGCATCCTTCACATCTACCTAGCATATGGTCCAAGATTGATCAGCAGACAATGCTAAGAGAGCATGAACTGTGGTGATCTTTGCAACAAGAGCAAAGGTTTCTTCATAGTCGATGCCATACTCTTGACTATATCCCTGGTCAACTAAACAAGCTTTGTATTGATCAAGAGAACCATCAGATTTCAGCTTAATGTTGTAAATCCAATGGCTCCCAACAATAGAGGCATCTGGAAGAGCAGGCACATGGTCCCAAGTGTCATTCTCATGTAAAGCATGAATTTCTGCATCCATGGCTTCCTTCCAATGAGGGTTACTACTGGCTTCCTGGTAGGAGCGAGGAATACCTATGGAAGATAAGACAATAGACAAAGAGTTACGGTTTAAAGGAAAACCATAGCGGTCAGGAGGTCTAGATATACAAGTAGAACGACAAAAATGAACAGAGGTAAGAGGAGTATCTAAAATAGAGATATCAATTACAAGAGCAGTGATGAGATGATGATCTGAACCAGGAGGAAGGGGAGTTACAGGCGTAGGGATTGGAGCATGTAACCACTTGCAAGAAAAGATGAGAAGGTCCTTCTCAGAAGGAGGTGAAGCATCTTGTGAATCAAAGTTTGGAAAAATAGAAATAGATGGTGTAGATAGCCTAGAAATTCTAGCAAAAAAGGAAATATGCTCAAAGAAAACAGCATTACTTGAGACACGAATACGACAAATAAAGGGATCATAGCAAAGAAATCCTTTGTGGTTAGGACTATAACTCACAAAAGCACACATGACAGATTGTGCAGACAATTTAGATAGTTCACGATAGGGAAGATGAACAACACACACACATCCAAAAACATGAAGCATAAATAAATCCGAAGAATGACCAAACAACTTCTGAAAGGGAGACATATTACCAAGAACAAAGGAAGGAATATAATTGATCAAAAACACAGTTGTATTGGCTACGGCTGCCTCTACCCAAAAAGAAGATGGAGTATGGGACTCCTGCAGTAATATCCTCACAACACTAAGGATATGCCCATTCTTGCGTTCAGTCACACCGTTTTGCTGAGGAGTATCTAGACAACTTCGTTGCATTTGTTTTCCATGATTCTTCAAATAGGATAAAAAGCCTCCATCAATGTATACTCCCCCTGAATCTGAGTGGAGAATACGGACTTGTGCTTGAAACTGAACCTGTACCATAGCATGGAACAACCTAAATGTTGAGAACACCTTTGACTTGTGGCAAAGAAAGTATATCCACATGTACTTGGTACAATCATCAATGAATGATACAAAATATTTGTATCCAAGTTGAGAAGTGACAGATGCAGTCCAGACATCACTATGTAGCTCAAAGGGAGAGGTGGCATGCTCTAACATGTGAAAAAATGGTTAAGTATGACTCTTGCTCAAACAACACAAGATGTATCAAAGGTCTGCAAGGAAGGAACTCTATTCTTAATAAGACCTAAATCAAACAAAAATTTTAATTTCTCAACATGTATATGACCCAAACGTTTTTACCATAAGTCCTAAACATTATTTTTGTGACTCAGAAAGGATCTAGAAGTGGATGAACAGAAATAAGTTGATGATGTTGTTGTTTAAGACTTCCTGAACTCCAATGCAAACAAACGACCCAACCTGCGCCCCTTCCTTTCACCTTCCCAGTGTTATAATCCTAAATCAAACATCCATCATGAGAAAAGGTGAAAATGTTACCTTCAACTAATTGGCCAACAAAAATCACATTTATAGTGAGATTAGGAACAAGAAAGGTCTTGGTAAGAGGGAAAGACGTAGTGGGTGAAAGCTTAAGAGACAGATCACAGTACCAATGATGTTTAGTTGTTCACCATTGGCAGTAACAATATGTTTATCATGGGTTTCAATAAGGTTACTTGGTTGGTTAGGGTAGGCTCCTGTCATATGGTTGGTAGCTTCAGAATCAACGATCCAAACATGAGAAGGAGAAGAACAATAACTAGAGAACTTACCAAATAAGCCAATAGCAGAAAAGGCAGAAGAAATAGCAAATGTTACTAGTTGTCGAATGTTTTCATCAACCATAGATGCCAGAGAATAACCTTTAAGAAAAGAATCACCACCAGTAGATTTCTTACTCCCATGTGCTGCAACAACGTGTAAATCCCATACGTTGATCCATTCAGTTTCATAGGAATAATATCAACTCTATCAGAGGCCATTTCAGCAAAGAAACAATAGTCCAGACACAAGAATATCAGAGACCCAAATTCAGCAACAGTCAGCTCTAGTCCAGGGGGATAGAGAAGTATTCCAGCACTAGAGGAAGTTAAGGGACTCCAAAAAAAATACCACAAACAACTTCAGCAATCAAGAACTCAAAGTTGACAGTCCAAAGAAGGCAGCTTTAGGATTGTTGAATCTAAAAATTCTCAAATATCAATCTGAAATCTGAAACAATTAAATGGAAAGCAAGAAAACCCTAGGAGGACACCAGATCCAGGGTTATAGGTTGATTGAATCAGCTGATTGAGAGAAAACTGTGATTTACCAACATATCGGGCGTCTTTTCCAAGAACAAAGAGGTACCTTGTGCTAATTGAAACAGTCCTCAGAAAACTGCAAACCAGAAACTGAGTGTAGGGTTAAAACAGGCTTGAGAGAACCCTTCAAACTGGGGAGAAAAGCCTAGATCACAAGCTGGTGTAGAAGGTCTGAAGTCCAAAGCTGTTGCAGTCCAGAAAAAGGAAACTATATAGTATTGCCACCCCAAGAAGAGGATCAAAACTCCTCCAAAAACTTCACCAAATCAGATGCTATTTGTAGAGTGACTGGATCAGGTCTAGGTGACACTAGATCTGAAGTTTGGCCTTGAACCAAGATCTTCCAAGAGAGATCTAATAGAATCTCTCCTGCTGGTTGTGCAAAGTAGACTGAACAGCAATTAGGGTTGATCAAAACAGCCCTGATCTTTTTCAAAGAACAAAGGGCAGTAAATCCTAAGGATCAAGAGAAGAGAAAATAGATCAGAGAGCAACCTACTCTAATACCATGTCAACACTCTTGAATGAATAGAGAAGAGAACAAGAATAATCTTAGAGGTGTCTAGAATAATTGACCCCCACCTTAAAGAGTCTCTTATAAATTAAAAGATATATACAATTACAAGAATGCCCATATAGGGCTGAAAGAGAAAAAAGAATAAAGAATACAAGAAATGTAATGTACAACAGGGACTATACTAATAAGATACATCAAGTCACAAAATCTCCACAGAAGCTATGTGATACAACTAAAAAGACTAGTTAAGAAGTATTTCAGGAATTTTCTTCCTTAAGCATTGCATCAGGGAAGGAGCAGTGATAGGATTGATCCTGTTTTAGGAGACCTCTTATGTCCAATATCAGTCTCACTGAATAATGCAAGAACACATTCTTCAGACTATACTTTTGGAAAGTTTGCTAGTATCTTCCAATCTTGTTTTTCTTGTTTATGGAATGTCAAGAAATGAAATATACATTTAATCCAATCAGGTTCAATTTAAGCTGGAGATTTTAAAGGCAACATGCATTACCATGGTTCCCAAAGCCCATATGTGTTAAATCTTCTGTGTTTTTGTTATCAGTGTACTTATTTTACTTGGATTCACCAAAACAAGGTTCACTGAAGTAAGCATTCACCTGATTGGGGTTCCTGGAACATAGAGTGGATTCTTGACAACATACTCCACATATAAGTTGTACACGTACTTTAGGGGTTCCTGTAAATCACCAGTTTTTGGATGGGTAACCAGGATAATCTGCACCACAGAGATATATCCAGTGACAAAACTGAAAATCATGTATAAGAAGAAAAGGCACTACAACTCAAAAGGAAAGAAAGAACAAAGAAGCAACAATAGAGTCCATATTAGTGAAGGCGAAACACTGGATTAAGATGTTAGACATATTTTCCCACTCTTCACAAAATGATATCATTAGAGGGTAGCATCCTGTAGCATCTTCCTCTACAGCTGGTAAGGATGAGAGAATTTGGTCCCTTTCATCCAATGGTTTTTCTCTAGTTATTAAAATTTCTTGAGCCTTCTCATGAAATGCTTTTGACCTCTCCTTTTCCTTATAAAGAAATCTGCCAGCCCCCTCCCCCTCCACCAAAGGTAAAGATTTTCTCTTGGGAAGTTTCTCTTTTAATAGTTAACATTTCTGACAGACTTCAAATTGAAGCAAAAGTCTTGGTGCATTTCCCCACGTGGAGAATTCTAATCATCTGTTTCTGTTTTGTCAATTCTCTTCAAAACACTGTGGATCTTTTTGGGCAAAATGTCATGGACTGCAAATAAAAAAGAACAAGGTTGGCTATGGCAAAGCACAAGAGCAGCTATCCTTCGGAGTATTTGGGAGGGAAGAAATGCAAGAACCTTTGACAACAAAGAGATTAGGGTCGAGGACCTAATGAAAAAACCAAGGCGAGAATAACTCATTGAGTCATGAGTTGTGATTAATTTAAAGACATCAGAATGGAAGGCCTCATGGGAGACTGGTCAGTGATGACAGATATAGGTAAGAGGACTGTAACAAGAAATGGTAACTGGGAACCACCACCTGATGGAAGGTTAAAGTTTAACTTTGATGGCTGCAGTCTTGGCAACCAGGGGGCATCCAGGGTGGGAGGAATGATAAGATCCAAACAAGGCAGAATACTTCTAAGTTTTCAGGACCTGTGGGATTTGGAAATTCATTGAGAGCAGAAATACCAGCTGTAATACAAGGTCTAAAGCTGATTAGCTAGCACAATTGGAAGGATTTAATTATAGAAAGGGGCTGCCAGGTGGTCATTTCTTGGCTTTCAACAGGGTTCCAGATCTCCTACCCACAGGACACTACAGCTGTACACTGGGAACATCTCCCCATGAATAGTAACATGTAAACCCAGAAGATGTTCCCAATGTACAGCTGTAGTGTCCTGTGTGTAGGATTGCTGTGGGTAGGAGATCTGAGCTCTTTCAACTGAAGCTGATCCTCCTTGGAAATTCCCTTTTTTTTTCTGTTACAGAAGCAAAGCTTCTAGCTTTCCATTTGAGTTGCTTGTTACAATGGGTTTCTCAGAGTGCAAATAGTTTGGCTGATTCCTTAGCAAAAGCAGGTTCCTTGAGGCAAGAATTTGTATAAGGTTCTCCAGGGCCAGGGATTGATGTGTAAATTGTGTCCTTATATTTAGTTGTATTGTTGTGTGTCAGCTTAATGCTGTTGTTGTACTATCCATGCAGTCATTCTTTTCTTTTCTTTTTAAGAGGGAAGTAAACATTCATTCAATCAAAGGGTGGGGGAGGGGATGTACATGAGAAGATGAACAGAACTGCTACAGAAACCAAAAAGAAATAGCAAATCACATATCAGGTAAGCTACTTGCACAGTTGCACCATACCAAAAAAACCCTCCTCATCCCTGAATTAACTAAAGAATCGACAATCTGATTAAGAACTCTTGGAATCCATCTGAATCTGCAATTCACAGAAGCTGAAATGTCTAAAATTTCATGGAGAAAGTGAGCCAATTTCCAGGGCTCTCTTTTTCTTGAATGAAATCTTTTCCAGTTATCTATCAAAAAAATGTGCCAATTTAACAAATAAGTAGGTTTATTATCAAATTATAGGTTAAGTATAGCCGTTAATCATAATTGAGTGTTGTCAGGTTAGATTTGGTAGTCTCAATTACGACCCCTATTTTGGAATTGGTTTTGTACATTTATTTATTGTAGTCGAATAAGACTACAATCAGTCCTAGTTTTAGTGTTTAATTAACAAGAAAAAATGAGCAAGAGGAAGAGGACAAGAGAAGAGAAGAGAGGAGGAGAAGAAGAGTTCAAAGGGGAGATTAGAAAAAGAGAGGATATTAGATCTGCCACCCCCCTCTTTACTATTTATATTAATTCTCAAATAAAGATAAAAGGGCTGAAATACTCTTACTGCTTACATAGAAAAAAATAAAAGACTAATAATTAAAGACTGACTGGAATAACTATCAACTAACAACTAACTGCTGACTATAGTCATACGAGTACAGTAGTGGGAACCACATCAGTGTTCTCTACATTTATTAGGTCAGGTCTGGGTCTATCCTAATCCAGACCATACCCAACCCACTGACAGCACTATATTTAAACATTATTTGTACTTATGCCTAAACAAAATTATTATCAATGTATCAGTGAAGTTGGTCTAAATGTTGCATATTTATTAAAGAGTTGTAAGTTTTTTTTTTCTTTTTTTCTTGATTTCTTTAAAGAGTTGTAAGTTTGTCTTATAAAATTATTTTCAAGTTTATTTTATGATATATAGTACCAAGATTTTAGTTTAATTTTAATAATATATACTATTCTAATCATTTTTATTTAATTTATTAATGTTGTTCAATTTCCATATTCAGTCCAAGTGCAATCTAAATATGATGAATAACATTCAGATTCAAATAAAAAAAAAATCAGTTATGGATTAAGGTATATTTGATCTGATCCATGTCAGCCCACTCTTTCCTTATGGCTTAATGGACCCTCAAAATTTTTATCAATTTTTATAAAAATTATAAAATATGACTAAAGGAAATCACTCAAAGAAGTCATTTTAAAATTATTAATGCTTTGGTCACTAATTAATTCACAAATTTCTTTTTAATTAATAGAGTTCTCTAACAAACAACAAACAAAAAGTAAATACAATTATAGAATATGGGGGTATTTTGGGGGAAACAAGTCATTCTGGATTTAAAATAAATCTAATTTAGATCTGACACATGTCATCTTATGAAAAATATGCGATGCTTATTTTTTCATACCATATGGTTTTGGGTCGAACACATAATATTTTACTCAAGTGATGAAAGTTCTGACTCAGACTCCTATGAATTGTCAAGTATTGGCAGTGTTGATGAAGATAAGACCCTGGTTATGAAAGAAGACAATAGTTTCCACACGGATGTTCTCTTCAAGGAAGATTTTGAAGCTGCTTCTGGTAAAGAAGTGGAAATGAGTCCGGATAGGCCAAACAAAGCAATTAGCACAATGAAAGTAAAGGAAGCAGAAGCCAAAGTTGAACATGACATCGTCCCTTTCTCAGAGGAGCCTTTACATGTATTGAACGAAAGTATGGTGTTGGTACAGTAGAACCTTTCTCTCCTCAGAGGTTTTTTGCAGACTGTCCAGGGAAGGGTGAGCTAAAAAGGGCCAACTCCAGTGATGAGTTGTTTCCTTTCCCGAGTCAACTGATCAACAAACCCCCTCCGTGTAACCAGGTTGACCCTTCTTGTCCAATCTTTAGCCAAATAAAGGTTGTGGTCCCCTGTTGTTTGCCTCAAAACCCAAGTACATGTGTAAGTTCAGTTTTGGTGTTGAGCCCACTGCAGGTACTTCTGTTGCCCATCCAGGTGCCCTGCTTTTGCCAGAAGGGGTGGACAAAGGTTTGGTGATTGAGGAAGGGAAAGTAGGAGAAAGAGGGGAAAGAAAGGGAAGAAGTTGATAGAATCTGGACTTAAAGTGTTCTGTTTGAAGAGCTTAAAGAAAAGGAAGTAGCTGAAGAAGGGGCAGGTTATAAAAAGGATAGGGAAGTTAGAGAGGGAGGATTGGTAAAGAATGAAATCACTGAGGAGTGTGAGCTAACTCCGATGGGTAATGAAATGGAAGAGAAGGAGAGGTTGAGGAAAGGGAAGGAGGTGATGAAGGTCTACTCAAGGAAGAGTGAGGAAAAAAAGAGAGGGAGAAGAAAGAAGAGAACAGAAGTGGAGAGGTTGTTATATGATGTGGAAGGTGATATTGTAGTGGAAGGGGGGAAAGGAGAAAGAGCACAAAGTAGGAAGCCCTTCCCATGATTAGGGTTTAGTAGTCTAAAGTATCATGAAGTTAGTAAGTTGGAATTTTAGATGATTGGGGAGTGCAAAAAGGAGGTTGATCAAGGACTTGCTCAGAAGGACCAGACATTGTCATGATTCAAGAAACAAAATTAGGAGAGTTGGACAAGACGTGGATTAGAAGTAAATGGGGTTCAAGAGGCTTAGAGGCATTAGTTGGTCAGTGGCTCCCTCTTGGGGGGCTTCAGGGGGAATGTTAACAGTAGAAAATTCAGAACTGTAATCTAATTTGATAACAGAAATAAAAGAAAGACAGAAAAGAGTTTCCTGGAGAGAAGAGAAGAGGAGAAGGAGAAGAAGAGATGGGAGAAGTATAAAATAAAAGAGAATACAATGACCAATATGCCCTTAATAGGGTAACTGCTGCTAATAACATAAAAAATAAACATAAACTTTTGGGCCTTGGGCAAAATAATACTCTAACCAATAACACTAAATAAAAAGGAAACAAAGAACTGTTGAATCTCAACACTCCCCCTCAAGTTGGGAGTAAATACCATTGTTACTCCAGCAGACAAAAAAGGCTGTTTCAGAATTAATAGAAGCATGAAAATTTTGTGGAGTTTATTCAGAGGTGGGATTTGATAAACTTTCCGCTTTCTAGAGCAAAGTATACATGGACCAATAATCAGGAAAAGCCATCCCTAGTCAGACTTGACAGATTCCTGATTTCTCCTGAATGGGAAGAAGTTTCCCCAATTCTAGTCAGGAAGCCTTGCCAAGGGCAGTATCTGATCACGTCCCTCTCTTACTAGACACTGGAGGGTTGACAAAGAATCCTCACTCTTTCAGATTGGAACACTGTTGGTTCAATTCAGAGGATTTGGTGGCAAATGTCTAGAATTGGTGGTCTGAACTCTGAAATATCCTTTGAAGGTTCAGCAAGCCATGTATTTTTTAA